AGTTAAAGTGACAAATAGTGTTCCTTAATTTGTTTCTTGAACACATTTAAAGACTGAGCACTTTTAATGGACTGGGGTAAGGAGTTCCAGAGTCTTACTCCAAGAACAGCAAAAGATTTATCATAAAATGTCGAGGAGTGTATAGGACATTGGAGCGAAAGGTTTTCTTTGGACCGTAAGGAAAAATCGTGACAAGAGCTAAGAAATTTAAAACGTTCTTTCAGATAGGGAGGACTTGATACATTAAATAAGACACAGTAGAGCGCAGAAAGTATATGAGTATTCCGACGAAGACGGATTGGGAGCCACTTGAGTTTAGTGCGGTATTCAGAGACATGGTCATATTTACGAAGCCCAAATATGAACCGTATACAGAGATTTTGGAGTCGCTCAAGTTTATTAAGTTGCTCCTCGGTGATATCAAGGTAACAAATGTCAGCATAGTCGAGGATAGGGAGTAGCAAAGATTGTGCAAGCGTAATTTTGGTGGAAATGGGTAAAAAGTAGTTAAGCCTTCGGAGTGAAGCATAAGCCGCAAACATTTTTCGGCTCACTGCATTAATTTGGGGTGTCCAAGACAGACTGGAATCCAAAAGGATTTTTTAACTACTTCATTATATGGAATAAGAATACCATTAAATACAACGGGTTGAATTTGACATTTTTTAATTTTGGAAATAGTTCTTGAACTCCCAATAATTATAGCTTGCGATTTTGAAGGGTTAACCGTCAACCCATAAGATCGTGTCCAGTCGAGAATAAAAGCCAGATCCTTGTTGATACATTCAACAGCTTTGGCAAGATCTTCGATGGTTGTTTGTAAATATATTTGAAGGTCATCTGCATACAAGTGGTAGAGAGAAGATATTTGGGATGTAATCGTATTAATAAAGATTGCGAATAAAAGAGGAGATAAGACACCACCTTGTGGAACGCCAGCTACGGTATCAAGCCACGAAGAAAGTCTATCTTGGACACGAATACGTTGCCGGCGCCCGTGCAAATAACTATGAAACCAGGAAATTGCAGTTGGAGATATGTTAAGAGAACGCAGAATCCCTAACAGGATATCATGATCAACAGTATTGAAGGCATTGCTGAAATCCAGCAACACCAATACTGTGACTTGATGATTCTCCATACCGTGACGAATGTCGTCGGTGATTTTTAATAACGCCGTAGTCGTACTATGACCAGATCTAAAGCCAGATTGGAGAGGACTAAGGATGCTATTTCTTAAACAAAAGGAATTAATTTGTTGTTGGACAAGGCGTTCTAAAACTTTGGAAAGGAAAGGAAGAATTGAAATAGGACGATATTCAGAAAAACTTGAAGGATTTGTTTTCTTAGGTAAAGGTATGATTTGAGCGTCCTTCCATTGGGAAGGGAAAGAAGATGAGGATATGGAAAAGTTTAAGATATGGGTTATAATAGGTGTTAAAAAAGTCCAACAGGGGAATGATCATTTTACGACTGACGTCGTCACTTCCGACAGCGTCGGAATGGATAGAGAGTATGTGTTTCCTAACATCACAATCTGCAAATTGCCTAAACACAAATGGAGAAAAGTCAGGAGTGGGAAATTATGAAAGTTGAGTAAGTGTTGTTGATTTTGCCATATTGTTCAGGCAAGAAACGGAAGAAAAATGCTGATTAAGCAAATTTAAATCCACGTTATTTGGAATAGGACATGAACGAGTTTTCCCAACTCCAATAGACCTTAAGAAGTTCCAAATACGACATGGATCTTCGTTTTGTACTGATTTATGGATGTGGCGGCGTCGTAAATCTCTACACATCTTGTTGCATTGATTTCGTAGGAGTCTGTACTTCTCCCGAATCCTGTCATTCTTAGGATCTGACTTGTAACTCGACTTTGCACTATTCTTCCTGCAGATTAATCTTTTAAGATCTTCGGTCAACCACGGAGCTGGAGGATGACGTATTCGCACTGGGCGGACAGGAGCATGAGCATCATAAAGTTGAACAAGAAGTGAATTAAACAATGCTACCTGTTCGTCAACATCACAAGCCTTCATTATAACGCTCCAGTCCATATTAGCAGCGTCTTTTTGAAGCTTATCCAAATCCATTTTCTCAAAATTACGCTGCAGAAGTATCCTTGATTTGGCTTTGGGTGGTCTTATTTTATAAGATAGAAACAGGAGATCATGATACGAAAAAGCATTTGCAGCACATTGACCAAAACTATCAACATGGTCAAGAGAAGAAACGATAACCAAATCAAGGAGGGATGGGATACAGTTAGGGAAAAAATGAGTTTCAGAGAGAGGAAGGATATTTAAATTGGCTGCTTCTATAAGGGACTTAAGCCGGAGAGATCGGGCATCATTCTTGAGAAGGCAAGTATTAAAGTCGCCCATTAGCACTGTATGTGTATATAATGGAGTTAACTCTTCAAGAAGGTTATCCAAAGTAGTAAAATAGTCCACTGTGGAAGAGGGACTATAAAAAACTCCGAGAAGTAATTTGTTGTGCGAAAGAAGTACTTCAACAAATAAGTATTCTGCTTCGTTCTCAGCTTGAGATGGAGATGATAAACAAACAATAGAAAAAGGAATATGAGCACGAATGTAAATGGCAACACCACCACCACCTCGCGCAGTTCGGTCGTTGCGTATTAACTGGAATCCTGGAATGGAATAGGATATAGAAGGAAGACATGGCTTTAACCATGACTCTGAAACGAGAATTGCGTGAACATTATCACTTTCAAAACTAGCTAACATATCGGGATAATGAGCCGGAATACTCTGTGCATTTATGTGGACTACATTGAAGTTTTTGATAGCTTGAGAAAAATAGGAGTCAAGGGTCTGTTTTAATGGAGGAATGCTCTCAAAACTGTCGTCATTACTTAATACATCAGACGCAGAAAAGAAAGGGGAGGAGCTTTGAATATGATCACTTTCACCAAAAGACATGTTATCCTTACAAAAATATTAAAAAAAAAAAAATTCAAACAACTGTAAATTATTAAAAAAAATACTAATAACTATAAAAATTATAAACTAAACCTTTTAGTTAAATTTACTACCTACCAGCATTTACAGAATAGAAAATAATGCAAATATTTAAAAAAAAAAAAACAATCAAAAAAGGTACTACACATATGCCATTCAGATCATATTTGATTGAACAAAAATATATATATATAACACAAGGTGCTTATGAGAAATAACTGAAACCACAGACACTGATATTAAATAGAAAATTATGTACTGTGAGTAGTACGTTAGGAGTCATTTGTGAGTATATATTAAACATTAAGTCAAAACCACTTTTATGCTTGCAATAATGTTAACAAAGTACACGTCCGACAAGGCCGCATAAGCATGGATACCTTTGCATAAAAAAAATACAAGTAAACAAATCTCCATGTTAGTACACCAAGAGCATTTAATACCTACTCTGTAATGAGAGGATATTTCTCTAAGGTAAATAACCTAGTGATTATATACTCTTTGCATAATTGTAGAAACAAAAATTTATTAATCTGTGGTCGAAACCTAAAATAACAGTTAATTATCAGTATCAATATCAAATACCTACATTGTTAAAATAACCTAACTTAGAACAACAAATTCAGAACAATAGACAAAGTCTAAGTTTCAAAGTGATGTAGATAGATAATACTTCGTATATAATAGGAATCCATAACGACTAATTAACTCACATCTTATTTAACACTCAACATTAGACTGGTATAAAAGAATTTAGGTTATCGAAAGTACAATGCAGAGACTAATTAACTCATATACGAGTATATACAAAACTACTAGACTAATTATATATATATGAAAAAATTAACTCATATCTTAAATAACACTTAACATAAGACTGGTAAAAAAAGAAATAAGGTTAGCAAAAAGCACAATGCAGACATACTGAAATATTGACAGAAATCATAATGTGATAAAAGACAATACATACAGTTTATTGAAGAGAACTAAAGGTCCTATACCACATAACTATCACTTCTTCACTATCCTCCTGGAGCGCTGAACTACTTTGTCAGTAGATCTATTACTTCCAGCGACTGCCTTCTGTGCTTGGGTAGCAGCAGCTGGTGCCACTGGGACGACTTCGAGCTCAGCGAGGGATTCAACTTGATGGCGCGAACCGTCATAAGCGATAATATGAATGTAACCATCCCTAGTCCAGCAATTACTTATGCCAAACTTCTGCCTGGCCACCATGAACATCTTGTGACGATCTTTTGTTAAAAACTCGGACATAGTTATACCCGTGTCTTTCAGTTTTGTTTTTGAGAACCAAACTTGATCACGGACTCGGACATCCCGGAACTTTACAAGAACTGGTCTTGGCTTCTTTTCTATTGGACGTCCAAGGCGATGGCAGCGGCTAAAAGAATCGTTAGAGACATTGGGAATCTTGAGCTTGTCCATAATTAGGTTAGAAGCCATTGAAGATGTATCCTCGGACTTGTCCTCGGGAATCCCATGAAGCAGCAGAATCTTACGACGCCGTCTTATCTCCAAGCGGTCGATCTCTCTCCCAAGAAATTCAACCTGTTTTTGAACAGTTTCAAGAGCGGACAAGATAAACTTTCTGAATGTTGCGAACTCCGTTGAGAGTACAGATATATTTGAGGCCACAGTTGGACTAGTCTTATTTAAGTCCTGCTGAAACTCATTCATACGAGTATTGAAGAGTTCTGACATAGCTGACAGTGATCCTTTGAGGGCTTCCATGGTTTCGTGTAGTGTTAGCAAATTAAGGAAAAAATATATCAAGGAATCAAGGCTGGTAAACAGATGATTATTACATATATATTTTACACATTAAAATATCCTAATTTCTATTTTTAAAATATAAATTACGCGAGACTGATCACAAACATGTGTTACTTATTTCACTCCTACCCACGAAAAACGTTTTAAGTAATGACGTAATCTTAATTTCTGCAGTATGTCTTCATCCTCGGTTGTGTGCTGGTGTGTCTTCATCCTTGGATGTTAATTGATTACCAGACTGCTCTGGACAAGTAACTTTGTCGTTTTTGAAAAAGTATAGCTATAATTTTTCTTATCGAAAACGTAATCAATTGGCTCTACATTTGTCATTTCGGTTATAACTGGAGGTGGGGGCTCTGCTTCTTTATTTTCATTTACTAACAACACCTTTTTATCAATATCTTGATGTTCACAAATTGAATACTCTTTGTGTACATTCAGTTCTGCGTAGACTGTTTCACTAGGAGCAGAGCATGGTGAATTTTTTTTATTCCATAGATTAATTTCCTAGAAAGAAATTAAAAAAAAACAGTTTTATATAAATAATTATTTGTATAAAAACATAAGATACCCCTTATTTCTCATGATAGTGGCCAGTTACAATCATTCTTACCTCATCAACTGGTGGTTCTGGGTTATGAAAATTAAGTTTTCTTTGAGTGCGGAAGCTTATGTTGGAATTGTGGATAATGTCAGATCGTTGGTTTTGAGCCATAATGGTATCCTGAAATATTAATAATAAATCATTTTCAAGTTGTACAGACACCTCACCATAAGTGGCTACCAAATAACTGCTATTATACTATTTATCTTTTACTAATAGTCGCTGTGTAAAGTTATGACAAGTATAAACATCAAAAAATGTATACATACACTAACGTTATTCATGACATAGGGAGTTAATAGTTACCTACGCATATAGCATTAAGAAAACATAGCTTACCTGGACAGTCGAAATAGGCTCGAAACTGCGTGTCAAAATGACACATATGCGCGTGGCGTTTGTGCCGCAGCCGTCTGAGCAGTAATTGTTCACTGTGTGACCGTAACCTTCTTTGTTTCTAACAAATGAAAGAGATAACCGACGTTTTTAGATTTTTTTGCACTAGGTAAACGACAAATGCCGCGACATTGAATAAGTGTAAGTATAAATTTTAGTTTTATCTGCTTATCTAACCACCACACTCGTTCGAATATTGGGAGGTAAAAAGTAATAAACAACAATTTATGTTTAGTAAATTTTTAGCAACAGGAATAATAACTCTAAACGACAAACGAAGTCAAGGAAATATTGGCTTAAATATCTTAAACCACAATAATATTTTTCAAACAAACTGACATAATGTCGAAGACGTAGTTTTAGAAAATAAACCGTCCAAGCAAAATGTAATAAATGTATCTTTATACATAAATTATTTCTAGCCCAAACCGGTTAACGTCCAAACAAAAAAAAATGTTTAAAAAAGCCTTAATAACGTAAGTCTCAGTTTGAAAATACCATTTTTCAGCTAACCGTCAAAATTAAAAAATGACCAAAATCGTTTACTATAAAGAAATTAGGCTGAGGACTTCATTTTATATACTGCCTAACCGACAAAAAGTATGTCATAGAGCCATGAGACATAGACCAAAAGACGCAGAAAAAAAAAGACAATTCTAGCCATATATATATATATATAAGTCGATTTTGCAAAAATTGGCGGTTATCCCTTTTTGGCTGTGAAGCGTCGATATAATTTATAAAAATAATATCATTATTTATAATAATGATAACGTGTCCAGGTTCTATTCCAATTTCAAAATTTTTGTTAAAAAACTGCAATGCGACTGTTGCCATCAACCACTGTTAACCATAACACACATTTAAACCTTATTTGTAGTGGTAAAACTGTGGATATTTGTATCCTTATAAGCATCGCTTGCATAGTATATTTTTAATAAATTTAAAATATCATTCATAAGAGGATATTAATAAAAAATAATAGCCTTATACTTTTGGCGGTAATTTTTAAAAAATATCTCAACTAGATTTCAATGACTGCCGCTTTCAATTTTTATCTTATATTATATTAAAGAAATATTTTTCTAAAGAATTCCTCCGAGTTTTTAAAGAATTTTCTTTCTTGCTTTGAAAGAATACAAAACGGATGTTCTTCAATAAATTAATGTCAACAGACAAGATTTAAATACACCAGAGCAAATGATAAATCTCTCTAAGCAGTCATGGGGTCGCAGATGGTCCGGATATTTTAGTAAATGAAGCCTAAATTTAAACGTTTGGAGTGACGAAATTTTATATAGTCGCAAATTTTCAACATTTACTTAGCATAAACATATTTTCTGTGTAAACAGTTTTATTACCGCCGGAAAGATCTTAAACATTATTTATAGTGGTTATAATAGTTGATAGTATTTATGTGGCTGTTGCTGTATATAAATGGCGTTTTAAGCTCTGAGTACTGGAGATGGAACGTCTTTTAATACTTGTTTCTTTCCGCTTTAAATGGAAAATAGGTTGGTGCTCTGCTTTAAGTAGGAAAAACTAGGTAAGATTGTGAACTTGTGATTTTGGTACATTTTTTACTTGTTCATTCTTTACACCCAATCTCTCTACAACTAAACTATGTCTACAACTAAATATAGGCCTCCCCCATGTACTACTTTATAGGATTTTCTTGGGACGCAGGCAGACACCACGCTGGATGGCAGCCGTGTTTTTATTATTTTGAGATGTTAGCAGAAAGATCCTGTTGCCCATCTACTGTTTCATTTCTGTCTGTTGCCTCTTACGATACGAACGGGATGATATGTAGTAGCAGATTCTATTACATCGGCACTACAAGGTCAAATGACATTTACCGCAGTAAGAATGATTAGCTGCCGGGTTTGCAATCACAATCCGTTAGTAAAAGTGAATGCTACCATAGTTATCGATTTTCGTGGGCGAAAATCGGTCAGGAAGACTTTTACATAAGAAAAAAAAAATACGGCACGTGAGACGTGAGAGAGAGAAAGAGAGAGAGAGTGATGAATTTTCCTACATTGGAATAAGGTAAGGCAAATAAAAGTTACTAATATTAAGTGTGTTTTAGCGGACTCCAAAAAAGGAGGAGATTCGCAATTCAAATGTAGGTCTTTTTTTTGGTATTTTACGCGATATCTTAAGCAATAGTGAACCGATTTTAATATTTTTTTTTTTTTTTTTGGAAAATGTAAAACGATTATTCCGTTACTTAAACTGCACACATTATTAAGCCATTATTCCATAATAATTTAGATAAAAAATCTATCCCTAAGAGGGCAAATAGGGAATGACATTTTTGATGTATATATTTAGACAACATTCTATGGTTACGTAAACCTTGAGTTTAGTTAACTGTGAATGGTTATAATTTTTTATAATATTTACAAAATAAAATCATCTTAAACTTTCAAAAAAATATTTCAAGAAAGATTTTTATTCAATAAAATAATCTTAGTGTTTGACAGCAGTCGGGTGGCTGTTGCCAAAAACAGTTTCTTCTAGCTTACAGGCTTAAAAAACTATGAAGTCGAAACCGACAAGACTTGAATCCAACCGAAACCAATATTTCTATGTGGTTAACTTTAAAATTGACACAATTTTTACATCTATATTTTTTATGCAATTACGTTTCGGTTTCATGAAAAATAAAACAATGATGCACCGATTATTGGTTTTTTGTGTACCGTCAGAGTTTTCTTTGTCGTCTCTCTGCTCGGATGAAGCTTAATTTAAACTACCAGAGGATTAAATAAATTTTCACACTATGCTCGATAAAATTGAATCAGATGAAATAATTTACTTGCTATAAAATTTTGTAAAGGTCGGTGAAAGTAATAATAAAAGATAGTATGCACTCACAATTTATTGGCTTTTTTCATGCATTTTTTTACGTATTGGTTTTTATATTAATAATTATTTATATTTCAATCATCATGCTTCATTACTTAGAGATTATTTTTAAAATACTTTATTTTTGGTTTTTAAATAAAATTAGTTTCTTTTAAATCGAAAATCGAGTGGTAAAATTAAAAATTTGTGCAACCGACTTCAATACGACCGAATCAATGTATTTTAAATCGCTTAAATACGCATTATTTAGAAATAAAACAAAAACTACTGATCAGATCTTGATCAATTGTATACAGGACCACACGAAAAGCACCAGCTTTCAAATAAGAAAAGAGTCACCAAAATAACACACAGAAAAAAGTTCTGAGGTAACACACATAAAAAAAAGACAAGAAAAACGTATATATAAAGTACGTCGGTAAATAAAAATGGAGCTGTGGATTTTTGATAAGCTTTAGTGGTAGAATATTAAATAAAGTTTAGAAATCTCGAGATAATTATAAGTATTAAGCTTCCAAGTTACAGTATTAAATAACGCATCCGTCTTTCTTCATTTTCGTTTTCAATGTTCTGTCCGTATGCGACACGACTGCCCATCTGTCACCGTAAAACCGGGACACAGTAAATTACGCGCCTTCATCATCCCGCGGGACAGTGATCTTGAGGGAAGCCTCCGTGACCTGAGTTATGTAAGAAGGTTTTAGTGGCTTTTATTTACCGCTTTGTGTATTATTACTACGCTTCAAGCGGTCGTGTTTAAAAGGCTATAAAGTTATATTGAAGAAATTATATATAACGTATAGTAAAATTAAATTAAAGTAAAGTAAAAGTTTTGGCATACTCTGATCATGAATCAACGGTCCGTTTTTGCGTAGGATGCACGGTTCCGGAGATGTGCAGATCAATTAACTCTTATCTAATTGATATCCGGTGAGGGCCTCCACCGTCATTAGCGCCCATTGTTCTTATCTATTTATCTATTGTTCATTGAATACCATTTTTTTTTTGCGGATGGAAAATCATCTAATGACCCCTTTCGCTCTGGGTGGAGCGTAAGGGAGTGTCAGACTTTTACTGACTAAAAACCATCCGTGTTCCTTCAGTGACCTTACGTTCCGGAGCCGCGGTATCTCTTTCGAACAGCCCGCAGCCCCGGCAGGCGTCGGCCCTTGCGGGCCCCTTCACGCTGCTGACAGCTCTTTGAGGCGCGCGTGGAACAAAACGCGCCGTCGACATGGCCAGTCGTCATTGGACGGACGGACGACGAGCTACCCATTGCTCGCCGTCCACAGGCCCGCGCATACGGTGGCCGGGGGCCACGACGTAACCCCCGACGCCCGGGGCGTCTCCCGCGGCGGCCGGGGAGGAAAGCTGCTGCTTTCTCTCCTTCTCCCGCTCCGCCACCTCCTTCGCTAGCATCACTGCTTCGCAGAAGGTGGTGACGGCATCCCATTCCGTCTCGCTCCGGACCATGGCTTCGACCAGGGCCGGACGTGAGAGGTCGCCGCCGCCTATCGCCGCTATGAGGACACGGCGGTGCTCCGCCCAAGCAGGGCACACCTCCACGGTGTGTTCCACCGTGTCCTCCGGTCCATCCTCGCAGTGGGAGCACCCGGGCGTTTCCTCCCGCCCGATTCGGTGCAGGAACCTCCCAAACACACCGTGTCCGGTGAGGACCTGCGTCAGGCGGAAGGTGAGGATGCCGTGGCGTCTCTCAAGCCTCTCCTCAAAGAGGGGTCTTATCGCCGCAATAGTGGCGTGCCCAGCACGGGGTTGCGACAGTCGCTGTCTCCATGTCGCCATGAGATCGTGCCGGAAGTCTGTCCGCTGCGCGACAACTT